GCTCTAGGAAGAATATTAAAACTAAAAACTTAAACTAGTTATATATATATATATATATATATAAACACCATTTTAGTTCATGGCAGCATTATAATGTAAGCCATAATTTGTTTATCATGGAGTGTTGTTCTGTAAACTCCTAATGACTGAATGGTAAAAATCATTATGTGATAACTATTATCAGAAGAGCTGCTAAAACTATACAACTTTAATTGAGTAATAATAAATAGTCTTAATTATAAGTAACAGGCTAACTACAAAAAAGCTTCCATTTTGCTATAGATAAGTGTGGTATCTTCACAACTAGTAGTGTTTTTGGCTTTTAATTCAAGAACTCTTGATGAGGTTAGGCCTGCTGAGCAATATTACCAAGCACCAGTAGTGGAATTGTTACATGTTAAATCTTCATGCACCATGACTATCACAATTGGCTTGACCAATGTAGTTATTACATTTTCAGAATTTTAATATTACGTACTAATCTAGTTAATAATCTTAAGTAACTAAAATATTTAATCATTTAAGTTTAATACTATAAAGTACCATAAATTACAGAACACATATAAACTTGCATTTTGTTTAATATATGGAAAGTTTCAGCTAATGCTCACAGCCTGTGTGAATATGTGACTGTTAGTTTTATCTGATCTAGTTCTATCTGTTTCATTCCATCATGGCATTTGAGGATGACTTGCTCAAGAAAGTCTGCCCAACAGACACGAACGAATATATGTAAAGTGCTTAGATATAAAATCTGGTACTTGTTATTCCAAATAAAAGTGAGCTGTCAGAGGCATTACATTGACTGAGTTCACTGTTTAAAAACAAAACCCTAAAAGTTGGGTAGTCTACCAGTAAAAATGTTGATATTTTAAAAATTCTTAATACATATTTGAGTTAATTTATATATTTCTGACCTTTTAATTTCACTACCCTGACATATCATCCATCGAGAGACTGATCAAAGAACTTCTATTATCTTCTTTTTTAAAATAGTATAAATTCTAAACTTTAAACCTTTCATTTTAGTTTAAATTTATATCTCCATGTATCACTCTTATAGTTTATCTCTGCACTCTTTTCAGAGGTAGATGTCCTTCTGTTATTAGGGAGATAAAAATTACATGTATTTACTGCACTCCAGTTGGAGCTGCACCAGTTTGATACAAACTTGCAATATTCTTCCTATTCATGTTGTTCTTGATGAGAAAGTGTCTACTTGGGTTTTGAAGCCCTCGTTCTCAGGACACTACCAAATTTCATCAAAAGTGGTGCCTCACTACAACTTGGGACAACAGACAGATGGACAGTTCTGCTTTATATGTACATTTATTAATATATGTTAAGTATTAGATCTAACACTTGACTGAAAAAGGTTTTATAGGAAGTAGCAGTTCTCAGTGTTAACAAATGTTCCATTAACAATAGGAAGTTTACAGTAGAAATAACTTTGAAAGTAACAATATATTTACATTTACTGTAAGCAGTTACATGCACTTGATAGTTGTCAGATATAAGTGTTAAGAAAAGAAGGATGTTTTAAGTAGGCAAAGAAGATGTTTGGAAAAAAACCCACAGAAGTAAGGATTTTAATTGCAGTGTTAAGAATTTTGAGTATAGTAAAGACATGTATTTGTTTAAATAAGATTTTGGGAAACTTGCAGTGTTTTAGGCTCTCTGTATCCATGTGCAGTGTCACATCACCACCTTAAAAAAATCTTGTAAACAGAAGTTTGACATATACAGTATATTAATGTAAAATCTTCAGTTATTGACAGCTGAACCTGATTTCTCTGTGTTATGGTGTACATATAATTTAAGAGCCAGGTTTGAATCTGGAAATCAACTTGCTCATTGTACCCTTATAGTAAGACAGTTCATTATCATTATAACTTTTATGTTTATACTTATGAATCTAATCAAAAACACCTCGGGTGTGAGAAAAAGGTGCGGTCAAAAAAAGGATTGAATGTGCAACTTAAAGGAATGAAATCAAAATTGGCAGCCAAAACTGGTAGCTACACTTATAGTATTCATAAGAATCTTACAACAAAT